GGGGGGGGGAACAACAGCTAATGTACGAAGTATTTTGTTTTCACCCGCAAGAGACCGTGGGATTGGAGCCGGCCGGTCATCTTTGAAACGCTTGCGTAGACTAGTGCATGTTTCGACATTTTTTCCGTTAACGGAGAATTGGCAGTTGTTTGGCGCTGTATCCTCGACACGCAAGTACCACAAGCGTGCCAGAACCCACTCTAGATATTGTATTCCTCCGTGCTTATGCCTCCTCCATGCAATGAGCATTTTGTTGTCTACAGGCGGACAGAGGATACCCCCTCCCTCACGCGGGTGTTGTTCTGTTGCCCGTTTTTTGTTGTGCACAGTAGCTGAAAAAAACGGAGCCCCTGCCGTTGTCATTATCATCTACCATCTCTGTATGACGCGCTTCAGCTTTGTTAATTTAATTCTGAAGAGGTAATCCAAATACTGCTGCTCATATGTATGTATTGCTATAGTCTAGACACCTGGTACACAGAGTTGACACACGAACCGCGCACCAACGCTGAACGTGAGTGGTGGTCCCGATAATTATACCCGATATATCGCGGTTGGATCGCTTGTCGCGGGATTTGGCTACTATACTGAAAGCTATATATTCCCCAACAGGCAGTAGTGCGGTACTATATACTGTTGCAGCACCGCGGTGTATCGGGAGACCACCACTGCTTTATAAAAGGTGCCCAAGGCGGGGGGCCGGCTCAGCTCGCATCGCTCGGGTGGTGGTGGTATAGTGACACCTACCCTCAGGGAGAGCAATATGATCATGCTACACACTCCACCGCCATGATTTACTGGTGCACACAATTGATCTACAGAAGATGTACTGCTGGGCCCAAACTGGTCTGTCTGTGGATCGTTGGATGCAAGCATGAAGGAATAATCTTGTTATTATTGCTGTTGTTGTTGTTGTCTTCACACAATTCTCGTGTCAGTTGCTAATAATCCCAAAATCTAGCGAAGACTCTGTCCGTGGTCACAAAAATGCTTATCAGAAGATTTAAAGAACAAGCACACTACAGTGGGGGCTACGCTTTAAGAGAGGGGTGTGCAGGACCAAGAAGGCCTCTCTTATGAGAATCGGGGTTCGATTTAAATTAGCGGTGTGTCTAGCTATTTCGACCTCTCTTAAACCGTCAAAAAGTGAGCTCTCTTAAACCGTAGCCCCCACTCACTGCTGTGTGCTACAGCAGTAGCAAGAAAAGGGTACCAAGTCCCGAACACGTCGAGTCGTGGAACCTTGTTTCCTGTTTTCACTTGTGGCGCGACTGGAAGTGGTTCCCTTGAGTTGAACGTACACGGTACCCGAAGCAGGTGGACTCTTCCTACATACCGGCTACTTACGCAGTCCTGGAGGGGGGGCAGCAGAACCTTTGCATGTATGTGTGGTTGTGTGCAACTTTTTTTTTCTTCCAAAAAGGTCCGATCCTCGGAATGGCTTTGGAAATTTGAAATTTGGATGTGGTTGACGGACCGTTTTTTTTATTATTTGCTTAATAAAATACGTATAATAACACAACTAATCCATTATTTTTTATGCATGGACCACAGCTAGCTGTATCTTGAGTCTCGAGAACCCGAACACACCAAACATATCACATTGGCATTGCCGTGCCCTGCCGGTCAGCAGAAGTTGTCTTCTCCTCTGTTTGCCGTCGTATATCTCACAAGCCGGGTGTGTGTGCTTGTCGCAGGTATTATTAGTCCTCAGACACGGCCGGAGGCTGCATACCGCGCTGGGATCTGCGCGGAAGCACTGTCTCCAAACGTCAGTAGGCGACAAAAAACTGATCCCAACAGCATGATGACACGAGACAGCTCTATGAACCTCCTCCTGCTGCTGCTAGTTCCATTCTTGCCAGCTGGTGCTTGGACACGGGTTCCTGATATGCAGGTGATATTGTCTATGCATGTACGCTTTTGCTTTCCTGATTCAATGCCCATAGTGGCGGGAGCCGGTAAACGAACCCCATGGGTATCGTTTATTAAACGAGACCCCGGGGACAAAAACCGAAGAAATCCCGGATTTTCACAGCAGGCAGTATAGATCTGAGCGCGCCGCGAGTACCCAAAGTTGCCCAAAGTTGCAGCACGCTGAATCGAGCGCCGTAGGCACGCCGCGGCCGCCGCAGGCATCAGCACCACAACTTCATCTCTCAGAGACTAAGACATGTCTTAGTCTCTGAGAGATGAAGTTGTGGTGCTGATGCCTGCGGCGGCCGCGGCGTGCCTACGGCGCTCGATTCAGCGTGCTGCAACTTTGGGCAACTTTGGGTACTCGCGGCGCGCTCAGATCTATACTGCCTGCTGTGAAAATCCGGGATTTCTTCGGTTTTTGTCCCCGGGGTCTCGTTTAATAAACGATACCCATGGGGTTCGTTTACCGGCTCCCGCAGTCTACCACCCGGTTCCAACAGGTTCTTGTCTGCGTGCTGCTTAGACTAGACTATTTCATCGTATCTTTTTCAACGCACAGGGGGGTGTCTAACACCGCTAGACTTCACGCATGGCCTATCTATCTCTAGAGCAGTGTGCGCAGGGGTACACGCAGTACTACCATTTGTACTACAGTAATGTCTCTGATGTGGGGCAGATATTTCCTTTCCAACCCAATCTATTGCCTACCATTACTGCTGTAGTCTAAGATCCAACGGAAAATACCACGGGAGGGTACATATGCATACAGCACCCTCAACGTCTGATCAACCCGGGGTCCCGCTTGCGCGATGGAGAGCAGAGATAACGCACCGCGGAGCCGATGCTAACGTACTGCCTCTGTGCCTAACGCGGTCGTCACTGCGGTGTTTGTGGTCGAGAACATTGGGAGTGAAGGAGGTCCGTGTGCTGTGTGCAATTTTCGCTGAAGGGAAAGAAAGGGTTTTCGGGACTACATGCACGATAGCATGCACGAACCCCTCTCTATCTTTAGTACGGAATAGTCCGACGGATGGTAGCTTCGGGGCACTGCCTATTCAGACAACCCCATAAACCAATTATCCGTGTTAACGGTTCCTCTCGTACTAAGTTAGATTACTGTCGTGGCAACAAATCATCAATAGGGTAAAACTATGGGGTCGATTTGCTGTGTGAGCCGGAAAAGATAGTAAGTCAAATCTACCCAGTCACGTAAGGGTTAAGAAGCATCCTGGGGTATGTGTGCAGTTTACAATATGGCACGCGAAGAAGGGGTTGACTAGTCTACGTACGTGTTCGGCTGTAGATCTAGACTTACTTGTAGTATTAGTGGCTGTTTGTTGGTGATGCAGATAACAGAGAGCAACCTGAGCCTCGTACAAGAGGGCGTGCGTGTCGGTAAGTGTTTTCCAGGTTCCACTTCTCAGACACATCATGTAAGAAAGGTGTACACTATGTACTGTAGTCTAGACGTGTCACCTTCCCAGGCGTCCGCGTCAGTTGGCCCAGTGCGGATATTATGGGATGCCGAGCGGAGCCCGGAACGGGTTGTAATATGAAGACAACAACATTGAAACTCCCAGTGTACGCAGTGAATCGTCCTTCAACATCACGCGGGTGTTGCCATCCTCCATTCATCCGTTCAACATAATGTTTGCTTTAACGCGCGCTGTGTCACTATATATAGCAGCTGGCACCGTCCGACGCACACCAGGATGCACAACAGCGCTGGGAGGGAGCCGTGTTTTGGTTAGACAAGACGGCCGCCCAAGGTGGGCATTTCGGGGTTCCAGGTGCAGAATGTAAATGAACGTCAAAATCTCTTCAACACGTGCCGTTCGTTCTTGGGCTTAGGGTACCCTGTGAAAAACCGATCGTGAAACACATTCTCCCTGTCGAATCGCCGAGTTTCGTTGCAAATCAGAGGAAAACGTTATTTTGTTTAGTAAAAAGTGTTGTGTTTTTTTTGCTGAAAATTCTTGTGTAGATGGAGGTTTGACACTTAGATCCTTCCGAGGCCTTCTTCCTCGTACTTCCGAGGCCTCTACCTTGTGTTGCGTGTTGTGTAGCACGATGATACCAATATAAGTGGTGACGAACAAGAAAACTAGCGTTAGTGTGACACCGTGGAAAAAACACATCGTTCAAGGCTGTTTCTAAGGAGATTCCAAACTGATGATCCCTCCATTTGCTGCCAACGACCTTGAGCGAGGAACGTGGTGATCACATTCCGGCAACAGTCGGAGGTACCGTACGCACGTCAACGACAGCAAAAGGGGTGAAACGATAACGCACTCCAAGCTTATGCAAATAATGTCATTCCTCCTGTATTTCCCGCGGTGCTTCAACATTAGGGGTGAAGCGCGACCGGCCAACAAGCGCTCAGCAGAGATCGCTCGCCGTGGACGGTGATGAGGCCAACGAGACCACCCAAGGTAATCACACGACTTGGTGCGTCCACGGCGGAGTTGTTCTTGTCCTGCATCTATCACCTATGATAA